GTCGTGAAACGGGATGGGTCCCCCGTGAGGATTTTCAAGTTCTGTTGACCAGCCATGTCTGGGACTTGTGAGCCCCAGGCAGGTATGTCTTCAGAAACTTGAACCGAAGCATCCTTGACCGTGACACTGTCAACCGGCGCCTTGCCTCGAGTCACTTGTGCGTAAGAGGGTGTAGCAATGTCTGCACTCCCGACTATCCTCCTGGCCTCGGGGAAAGAGACACCTCGGGTATATTTAACCCGTAATATCTCCCTCTCCTGGCTCCAGGTAGGGCAGTCGCGAGAAGAGGCAGCGTGCTTCCCCTCACAGTTGACACAGCGCAGGTTGGCGATGTCACAGTCATTTTGCTCGGTGTGACCCTCACGGCCACAATACTGGCAGATCGATTTTCGTCTACATCGCTTTTCGTGATGACCGTACTTCTGACAGTTTCGGCATCGCAATGGATTTGGGATGTAGACGGAAACGTTGTACCTCTGGTATCCGATTGTTAGTATTTGGGGTAGTGTTGGCGTTGAAAAAGTGATGATGAAGGTGTTTGTTTTGATTGTATCATTGTTTCTCCTGATCACCATCCGCCTCACCTCAGAGACCGGGACGCTCTCCTCCTGGAAATATGCCAGTATGTCTTCATCGGTGTCATTGCGCAAGGCTGGGCACCTGATTACCCCCTTGCTGCAATTAAGTGATGAGTGTGGTTTCACACTGACACCGATGCCGGCAAAACTGGTTGTTCCGAGTAGGTTCATCGCCTGTTGTTGGCGATAAACCTCTATAAGGAGATCGCCCGATCCCAATGGCTTAACGGATTTCACATCCCCTGCGATTCCCTGGATGCCCTTCCTCAACAGAAGTGGCGACAACGCGGCCGTTGTTTTACCACTCTGTGTGGAGGTCATCACAAGGAATTGCGGGAATTGGGTGTTCTGTGTTGCGTTTTGTGTTGTTTTTGAGCTAGGGTCATCGTTCCTGATTTTGGTATGTCCGTCGTTTTGGTGGTTTTTATCTTTACCCATGTGTATATTTGTTTGTTTCACGATCTATGCCTCCACCCGCCACGGAGCCCAACAAGGGGACACTGGTGTGACGCGGATATCCAGCGCCAAGTGTCGGAGATACATAGAATAGTATACTCGTAAGAATATACATACTATTTGAAAGAGTATACTCTCGCGATTGACCCTGAGCCACCGCCTTCTTGGGAGTATGTAAACCAAGGGCTCGGCGTGACCAGCCGATTGGTGATAGAGGGCCCATATCACCTCTCGTCTACCCAGAGTCCGAAGCCAAAGCAGTATGTTGCAGAATATCGGATCATGTCTCCTTCCTATCAAGAGTTTGACAGTGATTCCGACTCTGCTCAACTACCAGGATCTTCTTCCCCCAGGAATACGAGATGCAACCCACGGCAAACAGGTTGGCTCAAATTGGAGCTACTGTGAAAGCCTTCTGCTACGATGACGCCCAGCGCGCCACAATCATACCCCCGAAATGATCACATACGCACTGAGCACCAACGTACCCAGCCTCGAGACGTGGACCCAGCTTTCTTGGAGGCC